CCAAACACGTGTAGCAATTACTGACCTCTACCAGAGGTCATTAGGCTAAATAAACAAGCGTACCGTACCCGTAAACTCACAAAGGGATGATCTCAAAATAAGAATGTGCAGTATACACATAATCGACTGTTCGGGAAAACGTCGTCAACCTTATTATTGATTTATCTTCGTTTGTAAGATTAAACGTATCTTCTTTATTTTTAATAAAGAAATGCAAAATAAATAATGTTACGTTCTGTATATAAATGATTACCCAAACTGTCCCCGTACAACGACTTTGGGGAGTATTTTGAGATTATCCCTAAAAAAAATGTGCTCGGAAATTCTTCTGGCCAATCCGGCCCTACACACATAGACTAATACACGTACACACGTAACATGTACTATACGTAGGCCTAATACACATGCACAGGGATCAATGCCAGATCTTTGCAGTTCATCACGGCCAATTGACTTGACCAAAATACAGGCAATATGTGCGTTCGTTCACAGAGCTGGCGAACAACAATATTATCAAAGTCGAGCAATAACAAATGCATTTCAAAGTTGAAAACACAGAAACGATTAAGAGAGGGAAATGGAAAAATGAGTTGAAGAGAACAACACAGGATATTCCGGTCCGCGCAGGAAATTCATAGATTAACGTACGTAAGTACAGTAAAGATGGTGACGGTCCGATCGATTATAAAATTATATATTGCGATTACAGTGTACAGACAAATATATTTTTCTTCAAATTTAGGAGACAGTATAAAAATCTTACACTAAGGCAACTCGACTTTAAAATAATTATCTTTATGATTATATATATTGTTTAAGTCTGGTAATATGATTGGGTGTCAAAACATGTTAATTATTACACTTTGACAATAGTGCTATGTATGTGTTATGCTGTTCAGATGACATATAAATTTTCAAACTGAGAGGGAGCTATACCAAATTTACCGGGAGTACCGGTAAATTTTTTTATTTTTTTAAATTTTAATAACTCCAAATCAAAAGCTTTTTAGAGCCCAATTTCTTTAGAGTTGGGTGTTCTAACACTATATTTCACAATAGTAATGCAAATTTTAAATTTCATGATCCAATCCTGATGAAATATTCCCAAAACTTTGTAATACCTTTAAGTAGCACCTCCATTGCTGTAGGAGTGATTATTTCGAAATGTACAAAATAGGACCTCTTCATGTTTTGAAGATCGGTGGATATTCGGAGTGATATTGTACAAACATGTGCTAATCGTGAACTGGTCTATTGTTTTGTGGCATGCATGTGTCTTAAAGTTGATACTCTAAGCAAATAAATGTCCCTTAATTTGTTACCTACGGCAAGTATATATTATTTTTAAGTTTTTCAATTACTTAGTATATCACAAAAAAATTCTGTCTACTCGAAATCCTCAATTGAAATGTCTAAAATATCCGCCTCTCTTTGCATAGAAAATCAGTCACGACGCTGGTCTACTATTTATGACCTCACGTCCGGGAGAGAGTATATTCACGTACCCGGATGTTCCATAGCAAACATGTGCAGAGTGATACGATTTTCTGCATATTTTTGTTTCAAAGGCTGAAAAGTCTAATAAATCATAATTCTATGTACAATTCTTTACCTTCCCCTAGTACTTCATAGTATTAATATCAATTCCCCTTTTAAAAATTATGACATATACATGCCAACGATGTGCTATTAGTCGATATTTTCACCATGTAATTTTTGTTTTGGTGTTGAAATCGGCCCAGGCACGGAGTGAACAGTAGCTGTCTACCCATGCACAGTTCATTACCATACACTGCAGCGATCTCCCGATGGTTTCTTCTTCCTTTTTCCCATGTCTTTCGCCTTCCTTGGCCCTGAACATCCTTCATCTACCAATTCTGCCACCGGTATAGTCAGGAGCAAGTCTTTGTTAGTTGTTTTTCTTAGCTGGCAACGTCACTTTCATTCTCTTGCAATTGCCGATAAACATATAACTAGCGCACGTACGTTCCATCACAAGCAAGCAGCGCCTAGAGCAGCGGCTTGGTCTTACCTCCCGATTCTGCTCGCTCCACGAACGTTCATGCAAGAGCCGCATCACTCGCCAAAATATTATAGAGGAAGCGCGCTTGCATGATCTCGTTCAAGTTTGATATTTTACAACATAAAATGTTTAACTGGTACTGTATCCTTTTTTGAGGCAGTCACACACATCTATGATAAGTACTATCATAGTTCTAGACCTATTCGTTTTACAAAACTGCTCATGTACATCTGATGACAATAATTTATAATGCATCCGCCTATTCATAAGTGCACGATTTAACTTTAATTCCTAAGCAGTAAACTCGTCTTAAATCTCTACCAAATAGGTGAATATGAGGATATAAAAAGAAATCAGCGACTGGAAAATGTTGCTTCGTTATTCTTCATTCAAATGAAAACAGAAAATCCATCAAATATACTCCTTAACAACAACAAATCTAAGCTCTGACAGGATAGCATTTACGTAGGGATATCACTGCCATTCACTCTCACTGAGCCCATGACTCCCGTTCGTGACGTCACGGATAGAGGCCCGACTCTACGTGCACTTCCGGGTTTCAGACTTAGATATTTTGGTAGAGTTTACTCGAATAAATTCATTATTCTAAACTTGTTTTGTCGGGTGGACACCATTTGGTGTTATTATGGGGGTTAAAAGCTTTCTATTTATGTAATTATCTCAGTATTTGGGATTGTCTTAGAGTATCAGCTTTAATGACCTGCCATCTGTATAACAACATTATTTTATCTAACATATTCTTTTAAACAAAATACAAGCTGATTTCTATTACTTTTGTAAATGGAATCCAGATAAATCATGCCGATGCAAGGTCACAAAATAACCTGAATATTCATAAATGAATGATACACACCATAAAAACTAAACCAACAACAACTCAGTGACAGAGGGTCTAAATGTTCACACACCATGGTATCATAAGATGTACAAGAGCAAGAATAAAATTCAACAAGACAAATGCCACTGTGTCTCCTATATTCGTCCACCCCAATTTCAGTATACCGGTATAGGAAATGGATGGAGACATATCACAATGAAAACAAAAAGCCTATAATCAAATGTCAACAGACGACTATGATCTTGACCTACTAAACCTAAAATCAGGGCTGGGACAAAAAAAATTCCAAAAAGGAGAAAGATTTAATGGAAGTTCAGGGAATGCCCTCGGCGGGGGTTAAAGATAAAGACCAGTTATAGTCATGCGATTGCATTGTGAACAGGGCTCAAATTAATTTTTTGTCCACGGGAGCTCTTCCAAAAAAAAAGAGCCCCCGTGAGCCTTCTCACGGGGCCTGTTTTAGTGCTGATGGGGGCTCTTATTTTAATACAAATTTCCATTGAATTGGTACCCATGAAACTCCTAAGTTCCTTAGTATTTTATCATTATCATTTATTTAAGTCGGCAATTTCCCTCTTAGAAATTTATTTGTTACATAGCTGTTATTGACTTTTATCCTTGTGATGACATTCTCTCCATTTCTTCCCATTCTGCACATAATGTCCTCCTCATTATTTGGAGCAACCTTATATACATTCTTTCTTTACTTTAAATCTTTACCATATCCTTCCAAAAGACAGGGGCGGATCTAGCTTTTTGCTAAGGGTGGGAGTGGGTAACCCAAATAAGATGTGAAGCATTGTCCACGAGCCGCATAGCGGCGAGGCAATTTTTGTTGTTGCTATTTTGAACCCCCGTAAGTGATGTTTTCCTAGCATCTACTAACATGCGGAGCATCGTCCACGAGCCGCAAAGCGGCGAGGCGATTTTTTTTTTTTGTGCTATTTTGAACCCCCGTTAGTGATGTTTTCCTGGCATCTTCTAATAATGTGTAGGTCTGGACACAGCATTTTTCTATGCACATCACATTTTCACTTGGCAGCCCAAGGGGGGGGGGGGGGGGGGGGGGGGGGGGGGGGGGGGGGGGGGTTAAACCCCCAAAACCGCCTATACCCCCCCCCCCCCCCCCTCCTGCAACATCTTTGTTGATCTTCTTCTCAATATTGATTTACTGGTCGAGTTACAATATTTGCTGGTCTTTTAGAATAACCAGATTTCAGAGGATTCATACTTTTCACAACGAAAAACTTCTCCATGTCCTTGCGCGATCGTCTCCAGCTCCAGCAGATATTGGGCGTCAGCGGCGTTACACCGGTACTACCGGCGCAGTATAGCCACTGCTGACGGCCGCACTAGCTGCACTGCGAGCTTCCGTTGTTTGTATCGGTAATACTCATAGCGATGGGGCGATTATGGAGCTCACGGGGGCGAATCGCCCACCGCCCCCGTGTATTTTGAGCGCTGATTGTGAAAGAAACGTTGTGGAATAGATCAGAAAGGGATGATCATCTAGCTTATAAATATTGGTTCTGGAATCATCAAAATGATAAGGTCAATGCTAGATGTACAATTAATGATAATCTGAAGTTTAAGACTTGTTTCCCTTCTTCTCCCCCCACCCCTCCCCATAGAATAATACATATTACCACCATGTTTGAGCCTCATATCTCTCATCTCATATGGTTCTAGAGATATTGCAATAACAAGGTCACTTTTATTTTATAAGTTGACCTCTGTGATCCCTAGACCTAGTTACTCGAAAATCTAATCCGATTGTCTTCCTATGGTGATACATACTATCATCAAGTCTGAAGTTCATAGCTTAGGTAGTTCTTGTAATATTCCGATAATAGGGACTTTTCGATTTGCACGACTGCAACGTGGACTGCAACGTGGACGTCCTTTGAAGGCACTGCCAGTGCCTTAAAAGGAAGTCACACGTCCACGTCCACGTCCACGTCCACGCAAATCGAAAAGTCGCTAATGAGAAAGCGGGACGGACGTATGAAAGGACAACCCAAAAACGTAACACCTTTGGTGGGCAGAGGCATACAAACCATTTGTAAAGGGGGAACACCAAGTGCCGTTCTGATGACTAGAAATACATTTTATACTCACCGATAAAGGTCTTCCTTTTCAGTCGGGTTGAGCTGTTTCTGGTCCTCTGTGGTTCTTCCTTTGGATGAAGATGTGTGAGGGCCTGGACGGAATAGAGGAGGAGGTGCAGATGGGGTGGAACCTTGAGATGCAAATCCACCCCCGTCCGTACTGCGTGGAGGAAGACGAGGAGTTGAAAACTGACCTGAAGATCCATAACCGCCACGAAAACCCCCTCTCCGGAAATTTTCTTGTTGCACGACTTGACCCTGGTTATCTGTATGGTGAGGGGCACGGCTTGGAGATACAGCCTTGGATAAATACTGTGGTTGAGGCTGAGATGGTAGAAAGGAGGATTGGCTCATTGGCACCATCAGGGGAGCTGGTGCAAAGTTGGGCTGCAGCAATGGAGGGGGACCCAAAAGACTGTGTTGCACAGCTGGGTGCATGGTTCCTGCTGTGCTCACCAAGGGCCCAGGCATACACTGTCCTGGATTCACTTGGTTGGCATAAAGCACATGATATCTGGAATATTTGCAGGATCCCAAAGAGAAAGAAAAATATTTAATTATACAATGTAAACAATGTATCATGGCAATACACCCTTAAACACACATTCATACTTGTGGGCTGGTCAGAGCATTTTTTTTCTACTTTTAAGTTGTCTGCCATTTAGCATCACAAACCACTTACAATCCTTGACTTTTTGGTCAAAGATCTTCCACCCAAATGTTGCATCGTTCAAAATGAGACATTCAAGTGATAGCACTTATGAGAAAGCTAACCTTCTGAATGTCAGCTTCTGGTAATATGCATTTTAGTCTCTGAATACTCACTGCCAACTAAAACATTCATCCTATTCTATCTCTTTGTTTGCTTGAAAGTATTTCTTGTTATGCACTTTTTATCTAATGACAAGGTGTTTTATAAAAGTAATATTGTTATTCATATTATCATAAATATCATCAAGAAAAAAAATTCAGACATTTTCTACAGTCTTTTGACACATCTAGCAAAATTCCAAGTATTGATGAGCTATTATCTTTCAGCCTATTAGTGAACTCCAATACATTATAGTGGGGTTAACTGATGATCTATACTAAATAAAAGGGCTAAAGATGAGGAAATAGTAGCAATTGTATCACAACCAAGACAATTTAAAAGATACTATTGATTGAATTACCCTTGGTTATGCCTTGGTGGGCCCCCTGCAGGATACATAGTTTGTGAGCTGTGGTCCTGTGGAGAGTGGTAGATGTCCTGATCTGCCTTAAGTCACTTTAATACCAGACCTGCACTTTGACGACCACTGCAGACGAATCAGTTGTTTAGGTTGCTGCTTTGAAAGGATAAAATGATGTGCCATGATATTCAACTTATCTGGGCAATAGGTTCTAAAATGACAATTTACTTTCTGAAGTCATATAAACTAATGCAGGCGTCACTCTGTGGCCTGGACCCCCCCTCCTCAGGTCATCACCTTTCTTCACCTGAGCCAATTATTTGTAACCTCAGGGTTTCACCATCACTTCATGTGCTTTACAAAAAACAAAGGCAAAGCATCACTCTTATCAGCAAATGTGTTAGTCCAGGCTTCACCCTTTGAATTATTTGCATAGGTGATGCTTCACTTTTGTCAGTTTTACATAGGTGAGGCTTCACTTGTGTCAGTTTTCCATAGGTGAGGCTTCACTTTTGTAAGTTTTCGGCCGGTCTGAAGCTTCACCACTGTTTCACCATACTGGCCATTTGCATAGTTCAAGCTTCACCACTGTTTCACCATATTGGCCATTACATATTTCAAGCTTCACGTTTTGAAATCAAGCTCCACCAATGTTTACTTATAATAGTAGACCATGACTGCAATGGTCTATAGTCATGATAGTAATTCCATACTGCTCAATAAGTACCAAGTCAACCAGTCAATCTCGCGAAAATATAGGCTAAGTTTTATGCACAGATTTCGTTAATAATCAATCGTAAAACAGGGTCGGAGTAGTACCGTCTCAAAATGATCGGAAAACTCTGAACTTTCTATTTTTTTTCAACTCACCTCGCAAAAACTTGGGGCCAAAACTTGGCACGATCTGCGCTGCGCATGCTGGGTACAATACCGACAGCTCGTAGGCTACTAGTCTCGTTTCCAGACTTGAGGCTGGCCTTTCAGGCACGTATACTGCGAATACTCACGCAACTAGTTATGTGTAGGAGACTAGTAGACTACTCGAAAACGATCTCGTGAAATCTCGAAATCAGTTTCGCTGGAGAAAAGTTCGGTGACCTCAGGACGATCACTCTGCGAGTGCATGAGTGACCGGAATAAAAATTAAATAGTTGTTTTGAAACGCACGATTTCGACATGATTTCGACATATTTTCGACGCGACCGGTAGTGGCTTCGATGTCACATCACCTGAACAAACAAGGCGACCGATTGGATTCGATGTCACATCACCAGAAAAAACAAATTACTCGTCAAAGCTTCACACATTTCATCAATTTGTATAGTAAAGCTTCACCCAATGAAGAAAAACAAACGTTAGGACTTCACTACAACAACAAATAGGTCAGGGTCAGGCTTAGGCGTCGAGTCGACGTCGATATTTGGCGACCTCTGAGGAGGGTGGGTCCAGGCCACAGAGTGACCCTTGCATAAGTCTATACATCTTAGTTCTTAAGACTACATATTTCTTTTATTCACAGTATAATTTTCACTTGGCTTGTGAATAGGTTTGTCGTTGACCCAACTGTATTTTCAAAAAGTGAACTGGTAGTGGTAGAATGTCAGCTTTAACTTAATTCATTAATATTAAGGGCAGCACAGAATGTTTAAGACTGACACACAAACAAGTATTCTCAAGGTCTAGATCTAGCTCATATTTCCGAGACAGCACAGCCGGTGCTCATGCTCAGACACATGCTCCAGCAATAATTCTAGACTGCTACTGTCTTTAGTTCTACATCAATTATTTTTCTTAATTTCTAGATCTATTCTAACAAGTTTTAGGTAGATCTAGAACTAGGCTTGATATAAATTCATCCCCAATGACAAAGCTGTAGGCCTACTGCCAATCAAGGTCATGGGCCTTGCAAACATGCTCTTACTTAGTCTTAGTTAGCCTATAATCTAGGCGGAGTGCCGAGCTTTTTTCTTTACTGCTAGACTAACCCTAAGCAGAACGTCTGATACGGCGAGACTACGAACCGTGAGTCGCAAAGCGGCTCACCGCCTATAATCACTGGTCTAGCTTTAGTCGTTGTTTTTTTATTATCGACCATGAATCCGTGGCAGTTTTTCGTACGAAAAAACCTCATGAATACGAAATGAACTCAACCAATCAGAAACACGTATGGAGAAGAGTCTATGCATATGCATATTATAAATCACGTGACATTACGTCATTTTCTTCATCCAAGATGGCGGGTAGTTCATGCGACGACGATCTTCTGCGAGAAAGTTTATCATATGCGGCCAACAAACTAGGCATTCCTAATGGAAAATTCAGAGAACTGCAGGAATCCGCTATTCGTAGCGTTATTGAAGCCGGCAGGGATATTTTTGTGGCATTACCTACTGGTTTTGGAAAGAGTGCAATATACCAAGCAATCCCCTTGTGCTGTGATTTTCTACGCGACCACGGATTCTATGATTGGTCGAACGCATAGAGATATATACTTAATAAGGCTAGAGTGCGGACTCGTCATACGCGCCCGTTCAAAGCTCTGTGCGCGCATGGAGCGCGGTCCGCCATTACTAAGGAGGGCACAACATCGAGAAATACCCGGATGTTCCCTTCGAAACTGTGCTACTGATATGCAATGTGAAGCTTCATTTTTCGGGTTGATTTATCGGTTTTCGAGTATGAAACGTTATAATTGTGGTACTTTGCATAATGCATGAACCCTACTCATGCCTCAGTCATGGTATCTGGTGTAGGTCAAGATTAATTACGGATGTTATGGTGAGGTAAAAGGGACACAAAAAGCTATTTATATTTCAGTATATCTTCAATTTTCATCCTCTTTGTCAATATAAAACTGCGATATTACGACATTAAATATTACTTGGCTTTCAACCAATAAGAATCGAGCATTTGGGACTTGTATTTGATATTTATGTCATGATATTAAACAAAGTTTTATGCTACAGGGCCAATGCCGGGGGCCAATGTCTTTCTAATTCAGTTATTATGAGAGCCAGGGTTTATTGATTTAAAACGCTTTAAAGGTAATATATTCATTTTATGTTTATGGCTATTATAAACAGATTGATACTTATAGATTTGGGATAGAGATGGGTATATAGATAGCTAGACACATAAATAGATGGATAGATAGATATAATATAGAAGGATAGGTAGATAATGGAAATGCAGATAAAGGACGATACTGAAGATAGGAAGAGGGGGAAGGAAAGAATTATAATAATAATAATAATAATATGGATATTTATATAGCGCCGGTATCCGCCAGCCAATGACGCTCATGGCGCTGTACATACACATTTATTTTTTAAAAATTATGTTATTTACTCATCCAATCATTCATCCATCCATCCCAACATTCTTTTTCTTCTTCTCTCACTCATTTTATATCAAATTCACACCATAATATGTCTTTCACCCATTCTCTATAAAATCTCTATTTTTGTCTGAAAGAATAATTCAATTTTTTTACACTATAAATATATATGAATATTATTTAAAAACAGCTGATCATTGATGTAATAATAATTTATTCACACCACTTTTTTTCTCCATAAATAATATTCTCCTTGATACAGTGTATTTCTTATTTTCTTCATCAACCAGTTTTAGAGAATAAACTTATAATTCAATTTGAAGAAAAAAATGAATAAATGAACCTTTTATTACCACACGGCACACGTGTGTTGATATTCTACATCATAGGCATTTAAGTTTTGACATTTTATCGGACATAATACTGCAATAATACATCACAATTGAAAGGACAGACATTGCAAAAACAACACCTCAGATTTTAGCCCCAAATTTACTGTCACGGATCATAGGCAACACTGTACACAACCACAACAAATTGATTCGCCACCTAAGACAAGCATTACACATCCAAAACCGCCACAATAACTCCCAAAACATAAATGTCAGGAGGCCAATGTCTATGTGTCAAGATGTCAGCGATAACAAACACTTTATTAACTAGTCTTGGCTCCAAGCGCACGCAGGCGTGTCACATTTACTAATAATACAAAGACATTTCATCGAGTAATAAATGCAAACCAGAAATAGTAATTGAGCATATATATTCCAAGTCACCTGTATTGCTATAAAGAACTATAATTGAAGAGACTTACATCTCAGGATACTGCACTACACTATTCAGTGAAACCTCATAGTAACATGGTCTTTTTATTTGACATCATTATTCATCAGGTATAATAATAAATTTGAAACTGATTACCCTCAAATGTACACAGTAGATACAACAAGCCAAAGAGTGCACAATCTTATGGGTTTACATCTAGTGACATTATTCCATATAATTTTTCTGTTATCAAATCTCTTCAAAAGCAGTTTTCCATTTTGGAACAAAATTCAAATCTATGTACAAAACGATCTATGGGTGTGTATATGGTGTGCATTACACAGGCTTTTCAATTGCCACACATCTGTGAATTCTTCTCGTTTATTGAAAATGGGCTCACTTGATGTGAATTTCATGCTTTTCATCTTTAATGATGTAAATCACTTGGTTGAGAGCAATCCAGACAATGTTATAAAAAAGGTCTACATGTTTATCTCAGGTTATCCATACTGTACCTGCAGAATCAAAGCACATGTAGAGTGCAAATAATTTGCAAAAATTATAGCAACTGAATCAGATACAGCAGGTACAATCATGAAGCTTATAGAGTAAATATTCAAATACAGTGTACCTCACAACAACCCAAAATTCAAGTACATTTTGTTTAACCCCTAATGTAATCAACTCTTCTAAGTTCCACTTTAGTTTGCCTTTGTGTAAAGTTAACAAACAGAAAATTATGGTTAGGTTGTGCAACTGTCACAATGTGTCCCACAGGGAAAAAATTAATATTTATTTTTCGGGGGCTACTGTCCGAGCCCGCCTGAATAAAAATAACACTCTAAAATTTGTTTTGGTTTGAAGTCTATGCAAATTTACGGGGGCTCTTTTCTGATTTTCAGGGGCTCTTTTGGGCATTTCAGGGGCCAATTCGCCCTGAGCCCCCGTGTATTTTTTTAACTGGTGTCCCAAAATTTTTATTTCATTACACATGACAGAACAAAAGTCTCAGATTGTTCTGTTTTTTTAAAAGATTATTGAAAGCTCTCTCCAGTTTTAAACGGCTTCACAGTCAATCATCCAGTGGATAAGCTATGCAAACAAGAGGCAAAATATAAAAGACCGATCTGTCTTTGTAGTTTGTACGAATGCAGTTCTATGTTTTGTTTTGTTTTTCCTGAAAATGCGTTCTCTCCAAAGTTGTGTTGAAGTAGGTCAAGCTGATCCTGGCTAATGAGCTTGCTTTCATGGACTTCCTGCAAGAGAGTCCTGGTTTTTCCATCTCTCCTGTTTACCTTGTTTCACCACTTTAAGCTGTTTCTTGGCATCCTGCACTTGCTGTCTGGTTATATTCAGTTTCTAATCAACTCAGACAGAAAAAGAATAGTCATGTTCTTTTGTAATGTCATAGGGTTTCTTTGGAGGCACGGGAACACTTTCGGATGTTGTACATGGTTTTGCTGGGAGTCTTGAGCCATGGGTTTGTTTATAGGGAGGATGTCCAGGAAAGACAGTAGGCACAGCTCTAGGAATGAGATGTGGTGTGTAACATCCTTTCCTCTCTTGAGTGTATTCCTGCATTACAATAAAAGCAAATGGAAACAATAATGAGTTTTTTCTCATAACATGACAATTGTTCTACTATTCATGCTATTTCATGTGATTTTTAAGACTGAAACTGAAAGCAGCTTCCAGCCAAATAAATAAAATAATAATGATGTCAGCAAGTCATAAGCAAATTTGATAGAAAAAGTGTAGTGTGCGGTGGGATTTTTAGGCTAGCCTAGCCTAGTTGGATAACTCCTGTGATGTGAAATATGGCAGGCTAGCCTGGCTTAGACCAAAAGCTTCAGTCTCAATATCGTTGGTTGTTCTACTGAGACTGCGTCTGGCTCCACTAGACCTCTGATTATATTATGGGGAATGTCAACAAATGTCAGTTTTATTAAAGAAATGACCCATATCAGACGGTTATTTCTGTCTAACCTGGCTTTGCCTTTCGGGCTTTAGAAATTAGAGACTAGAGTTTAGATCTAGAGTCTAGAGTCTAGATTCTAGATCTAGATCTAGAGTCTAGTCTAGTTAAAATATAAAGAAGTTGACATTTGATTTTTATCTTGAAATTAGATAAGATAAAAGTAATTATTTCATTTTATTCTAGACTTTTCTTTAATAGAATCAAGCTCATGGAGTTATATTTCCGAGTTGGACTCTCTGGCTCTTAGAGTTGCGAGCGACTCCAGCGCAGGAGAATTTTCCCATCACCATCCCCAGAACCTTAACCCATGCCTGCCCCAGCCCGGCAGGCGTGGACTGGCGCGCTCCGCTGCTGCAGGAGCTGCGGTGGCTTGTCATGAGACAACCCGGGTACAGACTACAGCTACAGTCACTGCATAAACTACATTTTTAGCTCTAAAATCTCTTTATTAATCAACATAACATTAAAGAAGAACTTACTTGCGAATATTATGCAGTTCCCTTTCTTTCTTCGGTTCGAACATCCAAATGCAACGCACGAACCTGGCTTCTCCAGTTTTTTCCACGTATGTTGTGCACAGTATCTTGTTGGGTCGTTCGTTTTTCTGCCCTCCTTAGTAATGGCGGCCAACGCTCCAGGTCAACACAGCAATTTGAGCGAGTACGCCCTCTAGCGTTAGTAGTATATATCTCTATGGTCGAACGTAACATAGGTGTACCTTATTTGGTAGGGCTGTTGAATGATTCATAGATCCGCCATTTTGAATATAGACCCTAGACTATATGAATATTGATTAGCTAGACCAGTGATTATAGGCGGTGAGCCGCTACGCGACTCACGGTTCGTAGTCTCGCCGTATCAGACATTCTGCTTAGGGTTGGTCTAGCAGCAAAGAAAAAAGCTCGGCACTCCGCCTAGATTATAGGCTAAGTCTTAGTTAGAGTTAGATCTAGACTTAATAAGAATTGAATAGATCTAGTCTAGTCTAGATCTAGAATTTAGTCCTGAAACAATATTTGATAACATAATCAGTTCTCACTAGAATCAGTGCAAAACGGGTTACAGTTGCACTTGCAGATCTCTTGTTCATGTGATTTTCAATCGAAATTGCAAGTAAAATTCTAGGGTCTAGACTAGTCTAGAGGTCCAGACTAACTGTTAGATCTATCGCCCGGCTATCGCATCTCGACAACCATGAAATTGAAAAAGATGAACAAGTCAATGCTTCTTACAATACTATGAATATATATATAACACTAACATGCTTGAATTATCATCATATCAAATTATCAAAATATGATCGGAGTAGTTTAGTTTAGAGCCTAGATCTTTTCTAGACCACGGCTAGGTAAAAGATGCGATCTCGACCCTCCGCCCGGCCAGCACCGCTCCGGTATTCAATACCCGTAGGCCGTACTCACCCCTCAAAATGAAAATGTAAGTTCTTGATGACTTGAATCTTGATTCCGCTTCCAGGACCGTTTCCGATTCAAACAGCCTGTCAATAAAGACAAATGATACCCTTTCACTTTAAAAATTTCATCGTCAAATCACAGCATCAGTGCTAAACATGAGTTGAGTTGAGGACGTATTTGCACAATCAATTTAATTAAGAAAATCATGTAAGAAGATTGTACCAAGAGAGAGAAAGTGGTGCACCGGTTCAGTACCGTTTGTGTAGTAGAGATCCAAGCGCGCGTAGGAACCACGTGCACATAATAAATGACAGTAGGGTGACATGAGTAGACGGGGGTATCAGAAGAAGAGAGCTCTCATCCTCGGGTATGATCATGATTAAATAATAACAATTCATTTCTTGCAATCAAAAGATACATGCACTTTTTCCAGGGTTTTGCATTTTTAGAGTGCATGGACTTAATAATGTATACATTCTTTAAACTTGATAAGAAGATAGGCCCCATAAAGACAAAACATCAGGCTTTGTATTAATTTGTATTAGAAAATTAGGTCCCACAAGCTAGAATGGCTTGTCAGTATAATTACTACAAATTATAAAGAAAGTGCCAACGGTCAACAAAAATGTTGTCTGAATATCTTTCTGTCCTCTTGTTATTTGTATATCTTTCTATTTCTTCCTTCCTCCCCCCTTTTTTTTTTGGGGGGGGGGGCGGCATGCCCCCCTGAAGGGCCCCTCTCTCGTCAGTACTTGTAGTTTGATTGACCCTCTACCATGTAACATGTTTGACCGACCAGTGATCTTTTTTTATTTTATAAGAAAACTGCAAACCGCTTTTTTGCGATTTTCCACGTTGAATTTGTATTACATATTCGTGTTGCATACCTGATGTGGAGATTGGGATGAAAGGGTCATGTATGCCAGGATTTTCCGATAGGGGGCCGCGGGGGGGGGGGGGGGCATAAATATAAAAATTACACATACCGTTATTTTATAATAATGACAAGGTCATTATTAACACACCACACCGGTACCTTCAACCCGGCCCCCCCCCCCCCCCCCCCCCCACTCAGTGTTATTTAGGGTACGCATATGCTCGTACCCTCTTTTTGAAAGCACCCCCTATCTGAGGACTGCCAACATTTCCGAACCCCCCTTTCGCGGGCTTTTTGCGGGCTTTTCCTGCCTTGGAGACCCCCCTAAATCAGAAAAAATGCTCAATGTACCCCCCTAAATTCGGAATAATTTCTCAGGAGTCCAAAGAGATGAGAGAAAAAAAGAAAACACCCCCTTTTTAAAGAAATCTCCGGGTGAAAAGTCAAATACACCCCCTTTTTTTACAAATCTCGGGCCGGACTTTGTCGCACGAAAAGTACCCCTTTACCGACATTTTGGCAACACGCATGCGGTCATTCCGACCTCTGAGTGGGGGGGCCGGGACCTTCAAGCAGGCACAATAATATTTTGGAAAAGGGGTATAAGGCTCACGTCACGTCTCTTGTCCTATCAACATTCCCTCACGGTTTTTAAGTTATACAATTTTTGACTTTTTCATCGGGGGGGGGGGGGGCTGAAGCCTTTTGCCCGGAAAAAGCAATTTTCTGGTTCCAAAAGTTGGTGAATGGGCGAGCAACAATTTGAGCATGTATTTTGTGAAAGTGTTATTTATCACCAAAATATACGAGAAAAGGAATAAAAATTGCATAATGTTGGTGATTTTTAATTTTTCGGGAAAGGCTATATTCCCATCCCGCATTATTCGAATCTTCTCTCTTTAAAGCAAGCGCGTAGCTAGGATTATATTTTAGGGGGCATACACAGTGAGCACGCTCCCTGGGGGGGGGGGGGGTGCAAGAAGAGGGAGTTTCATTAAATAATTAGAGAAAGAAGAGCAATTCATTGTACCGTTCTCGACTCTTAATCCCTGTCTAAATTCAGTTTCCCCCCTACCGCGCAAGTTTTGACGTTTCATTATTAGAGAAAGAAGAGAATTCGGTACCATTCTCGACTCTTGATCCTTGTCTGAATTCAGTCCCCCCCCCCCCCCCTCCCCTTCCCTCCTGCGCAAAGCGCGAAAGCTTTGACGTTTCATTAAATTATAAGAGAAAGGAGAGAATTCGTTGTACCATTCTCGACTCTTGATCCTTTGTCTGAATTCAGTTTTCCCCTCCCGTGCGAAGCGCGGAAGCTTTGACGTTTCTTTTAATTATTAGAGAAGAAGACGATTCGTTGTACCATTCTCGACTCTCAATCCTTGTCTCAATTCAGTTTCCCACGTCCCGCGCAAGTCACGGGAGCTTTGGCGTTTATTATAGAGAAAGAGGAAGGGGAGGGGGCAGGCGCGTAGCCAGGGGGGCGGTGGGGGCGGTCGCCCCCCCCCCCAAAAAAAAAAAAAACGCCGGCCAAAAAAAAAAGAGAGAGAAAGAGGAGAAAACAAAAGAGGATGTAGGAAGAAAAAGGGAAAAGGAGTCGAGAACGGTACAACGAATCATCAAAGCTTCCGCGCTTCGCGCGGGAAGGGGGAACTGAGTTCAAATTTAGGATTAAGGGTCGGGAAAGTTACAACGAATCGTCTTCTTTCTCTTATAATTTAATGAAACGTCAAAACTTCGCACGAGAGGGGGGGGAACAGAATTCAGACAATGATTAAGAGTCGAGAAAGGTACAACGAATCGTCTTCTTTCTCTAATAATTTAATAAAACGTCAAAGCTTCGCGTGCAGGGACTAAGTTCAGACAAGGATTATGAGTCGAGAAAAGGACAACGAATCGTCTTCTTTCAAAGCTTCCGCGCTTCGCGCGGGAGGGGGACTGAGTTCAAATTTAGGATTAAGGGTCGGGAAAGTTACAACGAATCGTCTTCTTTCTCTTATAATTTAATGAAACGTCAAAACTTCGCACGAGAGGGGGGGGGGAACAGAATTCAGACAATGATTAAGACTGGAAATTAGGTACAACGAATCGTCACTTTTCTCTAATATTTTGATGAAACGTCAAAGCTTCGCGCGAGAGGGGGGAGGAACTGAATTCAGACAAGGATTATGATTCGAGAAAGGTACAACGAATCGTCTTCTTTCAAAGCTTCCGCGCTTCGCGCGGGAGGGGGGAAACTCCCCCCTCCTTGCACCCTTCCCCCTAGGGAGCGCGCTTCGCGCGCTCTGTAAGTGATATTTTGCGTGTTCATTACCACCCCCCTAAAATGAAATCCTGGCTACGCGCTTGGGAGGGGGGGGGGGGGACTGAATTCAGACAAGGATCAAGAGTCGAGAATGGTACCGAATTCTCTTCTTTCTCTAATAATGAAACGTCAAAACTTTCGCTCTGCAGTTCTCGACTTGTCTGAATTTTCAAAAAGTTTCTTTGTCTGTTGCTTTTTCTTCCTATACGTCCTCTTACTTCTCTCTCTCTCTCTCTCTCTCTCTCTCTCCCCCCTCCCCCCCCCCCCCCCCTCCTGGGTACGCGCCTGCTTTAAAGGGAAAATGAAAGAATCATGTGAGAGCTAATAATGTTAGTAGAAATGAAGAGAAAAAAAAGAAAAAGATCTATTGAACCAACCATGAATAAGTTTTCACGAAGTGACGGTAGTGAGGAAAATCGTAACGCAAAGTGAATGCAATTTTTTTTCACTACCGTCACTTCGTGAAAACAGCGACGAATTAATCAATAAATCAATGCTGAAATTATGCATTCTAGAAATCCCCAAGCCCATTATGTACGTTCTTTCCGCTGTATTTCTTTCTAGCTATATTTCTAAATTTCCTGGGGGAGTTTCCCCCAATCCGGCCCAGGATCGCCGCCCCTGTCCATGGTTACTATCTATCAGGGGCGGGCGTCTACAAAGGGGGGGGGGGTGGGGGTGCAACACCCCCCCCCCCCACCTGTCAGGATATTGTCGGTAAAATTGCGCTGCATGCCGTCGGGAAAAAAGAGAAAAGGGGGTGGAAAAAAGAGAGGGAAAGGGAAAGAAAAGAAAAAAAGAAAACGAAAAGAAAAGAAAGAAAGGATAAGAAAGGAAAGAAAGGAAAAGAAAGGAAAGAAAAGAGAGAAAGAGCGAGTAAAAAATAAAAGAGGGAGGAGAGGAAAGAAAGAAAAAGAATGAAAGGAAAGGAAAGGAAAACGATATTCTTGCTCGATCTTCGTGTACTCAATGCAGAAGTTTGAAGTCGGTGAGATGACTTGTATTGTCGGTCTGCCGACAAGTTTTTTCCCCTATTACGAACTGTGTCTTTTTATCCGCTGTGACGACTTCGAGAGTGACTACAACTACAATCCTTGTATTTTCCTATAGTTTCCTATAATATCAGCTAAAGAAATCAGAGGGTTAAAATTTTCGGGGAAACTAAATTCAAACAAGGAATAAGAGTCAACAGCGGTACGACGAATCGTCTTCCTTTCTCTATATTTTGATGAAACGCTAAAATTTCGCGCTTCGCGCGGGAGGGGAAAACTTCATTTAGAAGAGTCGAGAACAGTACAACGAATCGTCTTCTTTCTCTAATAATTTAATGAAACGTCAAAACTTCCGCGCTTGCGCGGGAGGGGGAGAACTGAATTCAGTTAAGGATTAAGGGTCGAGAACAGTACACCGAATCGTCTGCTTTTTCTCATAATTTAATGAAACGTCAAAGCTTCCGCGCATTGCGCGGGAGGTAGAGAAACTGAATTCAGATAAGGATTAACAGTCGAGAACGGTAATTTGAAGATATTGGGACATCTAATTTTGTCGGTAATTGGTGGCTAGTTTTGTCGGTAATCGTTGGCCTCTACACCCCCCCCCCCCCCCCCCCCCCCACTGAAAAAGGTCTAGCGACGCCCCTGGTTACTATACCAACATGAGTTCAAATACAAGCACAAGCGAGTTGGCACGAGCTGAAGCCAAATGAAGAGTTCTGAAGCGGCCCCTCTACGGTACCGTTAATTTAAAATTTGACCTTTGAGTATAGCTTCCATTTAAAAGACGTCCAAAATATTGTGCCCTTTTCAAATTTTCATCAAAGAGCGATGACTTTTGTAGCGCAGGGGACGAATCCGCGGCTCAAGAATTATGCGGCCGGTCGGGCCCCTCTATTCAATAACGTTTCCCAAGGCTTCTTGAATGACCCCAAATCTCCCGATTACATTTTTTTTCTTATTCGTCGCTACTGTCAGTAAGTGTCATTTCTTTTTCTTTCTCCCTTTCTCACCCGGCTTTTCTCCCCCCCCCCCCCCCCCACTCAGTGTTATTTAGAGTACGCGTATAATTTTATGCATGTTCCCTCTCTTTGAAAGCACATTATCTCCGGTGTGTAAAGTCAGTGCGGGCCGGATTTTTGTGTATTACGGGCCGGCTTTGTTGCGTAAAAAGTAACCTTTACCAGAGGTTTTGGGAACACGAGTGCAGTCCCTTCGACTCCGGAGTGGGAGGGGGGGGGGGGGGGGGGGGGGGGGGGGGGGGGGGGGGGGGGGCTTTCTTCTTTTTCTTTTCTCCTTTTATCTCTCTCTTTCTTTGTTTCTTTTCTCTTCTCTTTCCTCTTCTCCTTTCTTTTCTTTTCTCTTTTTTTCTTCTTCTTTTCTTCCTCTTTTTTTTTCATTCCTTTTTTTTTTTCGCCGCCAATAGGGAGGCCGCGGTCGTTTCGGCCCCCCTGGATCCGCCACTGCATGCTGCAGGATGGGCGCCAGCTTACTGATCTCGATTATGTTACATTTTTCTTTTTTCTGTAGAGATCAGGGGCGAAAACCAGGATGACAATGCCCGAAAAAGCCTTCGCGCTAAAATTATGAGCAGCGGCGCTTGAAACGGGGCTGGGGTGCGGGGCATCAGCCCCATCCGGGCATCCACTGACCACTTTTATCACAATCCGAAGAGAATAACTCCTCCTGTGACACAAAAAGTGCCGCCTGTCTAGTAAGAAAATATCCTTCGCGATGAATTACGTATCGAAATAGCATCCATGTCAAAACAAAGTCCTTTCTAAGATTTAGGCAGGCCAATGAGGGGGGATGGGGAGGGGTTCGGGCAGTTCTTCCAATACAGACCCCTTCAACATTTACACGGGTCTTATCACTGACCTTGCATTTCCTGTACGCGTTATTGATCTGCATTCTCTAGCACTTGTAAAAGCCTGTATATCCAAATTTCCAATAACATGGAACCCCCCTCGGGCCCCTCCTCATTTTCGAAAAAAGAGGACATATTTTTTTTGTCCCAAAATGTGAAAAATTGGCCGATCGATATTTCGTTTCGTTGGAGGGGGGGGGGTAAGGTCAGCTTTTTAAGGTCACCCATTATAGGACAATTTGTTATTTATTTTAATTAGAAAAACAAACAAAAAATCAACAAAGGGGGGGGGGGGGTCCCCCAAAACACACACATAAACAAAAGTTAAAGGGGGGGTTCAACCCTAACACCCCCCCCCCCTGCCTACGCGCCTGCAAGTGCTACCCACCCGTGTCCATCAACCTGAAAAGGTAGGCCGAAATATTGACCGGCGCGATTTTTTTTTCAAATTTACGGGGGCAAAACAAAATTAGGGCTCCTTACCCCCTCCCACCCCCCCTCCTTCGCTTATTCACCTGCTGGCTGTTTCGCCGCTAAATATTTTCTCACGAATTGGGCTCCCTCTTTGGCCCCCTCCCCCTCCCCTGCCGTCGGCTGGATCCGCACCTGCCCACCCCCCCCCCCCCTCCCCTTGCTCCCCTTTCCCTCCCCTGCGGGCGTTCACGTCGCGGTCCCTAGCTGGCAGATGAAACTTTCATCTGTGAATCCTTCAACCACACTACTCAAGTTATATTATTAGTAATTAACTATCACAACCCCGCCCCCCCCCCCCCCCCCCCCCCACTCCGAGAACGGACGGACCCCATGCGTGTTGCCAAAATGTCCTTTTCGTAACAAAAGAAAAAGGTCGACCCGTATTGACTTTAAACACCGGACTTTTGCTGAAAAGGGGGGGGGGGGGGTCAGTTGGAACACGCATATGCGTACCCTTAATAACACTGAGTGGGGGGGGGGGGGGGCCGGGATCACAACCAAGTGGAGCTCTGGACTGGACTTGTGTAGTGACTCGATATAATAGAAGAAGATAGCTTTATACTCGCGACTGAGCTGACAAGTAAACTGAGCTTGAGCAGCACAAAAAGACAGAAAGTCAAGAATCAGCATGTAGAAGTACACGCCCCCTTTTTGGCAACCTGTAAACAACATTGCTATATCCGTTCGCCTCATATCTCTCAATAATGTTATCACAAGACACAAGGGGATAAACAAGTTTAGTTATATATTATACTCATGACATTAATCTTAATGTATATGTGTGTGTGTTCTTGTGTGAATGTGTTACTGTTTACCAATGTTAGTCTTGAATGTCAAATCAGCTTTCAAATTCAGCATATTGCGATCGAAATGACAGAAACTACTTTGTTTATATCCAGCTGATGCGTAGTCACATTTGCAAAGGTTCGGCTATTCGCTGCTCCCGAGCCGTACATGAAGTTACCTAATATTGCTCTTCATGCAAAACTATGCCGCTAGCTAGCCCTTTGAGCTAGCCCCGACTCGGGGCAGGGTGGCGAGCGCATGCACGATGCATGCGATTCGAATGGATTCATATGTAGCGCTATTGCAAGCTACGAGATTAAGATCAGCGAAATTAGCACTGTTCGGGTATACTTCCACAGAATGCAACTGAAACGAGCATGTCTTCTACCTTTATTGCTATTAAAGTGGTTTGCTGTGTGTCAGTTACAGTCTTGGTTTGCTTCAATTCATCGGACTTATTGTAAATTCGATACAGTGTCAGGTTGATATTGGAAAAGCTACGTATTATGAACAAAAGACCGCCAACATTTTTTGGTGAACTTGAAAGTATGGACGGTGACGACGAGCGCTCGGATCGAAGCGCAAGCCCGCGAACTATTGGACAGGAAACCGTTGTCCCGCATTCTGAAAGGAGAACTCGAGTGAGTACGAACCTTGCCCGGGCCCCGAGAACAAGGCGGAAAGTGACAATGGCGGTCGAAAGTGTCCAGCATATTCCGCAGTCACGGACGCACCATGGTCAGCAAGTGCTTAGAAATATGCAAGATGCTAATGATCAGGATGGCAATGGGAATGATAAATCTAGGAAAAGAAGACGTCCGCGAAGGAAAAACCGTAAATGGAAGCCATACACCCAGCTCAGTTGGGAAGAACGCCAGCAGCGCGACGAAGAGGAGTCCCGGCGGGCATCTCTCAAGCGAGCCAACCGTCCTACCCCGTACAACACCACTCAGTTTCTCATGGAGGACCATAAAGTTGTTACCCCAGACCTTAGCAATATGGGAGCATTTGACGAGAACCATGATGTGAATCTTTCATCCTCGGATGAGGTGCTAGAGAATGAGAATGAAGAATATCTTGTTCGAAACTTCACAGCTGTTTATGACGAAGTCCAATCGGAAAGGTTGCAGCAAATGTCAAAGGAACAATTGGTGAATGAAGTTTTGGAGCTGTCAAAGAAAGTTTCAGAGTTAGAGCAGATTTTGCGGCCAGGCAGTGGAGGAGGAGGAGAAGGCAAGCTGTCAAGTGAAGAGAGTGAAGGACATTTGGATGACGCCACACGTTCCAGACTACAAAGTGTTAATGAACTAGAAGAAAAAGTCGAGAAACTGAAGGAGGAAAATAAGCGATTAAGAACAGCAAGCTATACTGATAAGGAATGATAGTGATACCTGTGTTCTGTTTTCTGTTCATTTACATTGTGTATTATGTTTGTTTTGATTCTGTCATTGAAACCAAAATGAAAAAACAAGATCTCACATGCCGAAACAATGAAAAAAGACCTAAGTCTCGTATAATACTAGACAGTAGACAAAACTCTACCTGTTATAACACCATCTTTTCATTTCCTCTAAATTTGAACAAAAATGGGCAGTGCCAGTTTTACTACTAATAATAGGTATCCATTGCCAAATTTACTTGTAGTTCTTCAACTATAGATTGAATTTAGTAAGTGACAAAGTTGGCCAAAATAAATCATAATAAAGGCTTTTCCCTTGAATATTGTTGCTATTCAGAAATTATTGAAAAGAAATTGATAAACTACTAAAAACACTTTGCAGACAAAAAAACTTGTTTTTAGTGACATTATTAATTTTTAGAATGTGTAAAGAAATGTTTAAATTTATCAATAGTAGCGCACAGACCCTTGTATTTGATAGTACTAAATTTATCTTAAAACTTTTATTTTGCTGAATTGAATGATTTTTATCCCATTTTTCAAGACATTCACATTATATTCTTAATACATGACAACCCATGATATCATAGTTTACATACATGTATTTAAGTACATTTAGACAAATTCTTAAATACACATGAATTATGTTTGTTGGATAATCATGTACTGGTAGCTTCTCATTGGAATAGTCTCTCACTATTGTCTTGGCACTGTTACATGCCTGCAAATTGTTTTCTATCCCTTTGGTCAAGTACTGATTGATCAGTTGCACAATGTATTGATATATTGTTAACTTTGTAAACTGTTCCACAATAATGTTTCCTTTGTAATGTACAATTTTGTAAACCTCTAATTCAATACTCCTTGAACCAAACTTAATTGCTGCCAAAACTTGTGTTTAAGAAGGAGATCAATTGAGATTAAAATAAAATCAATTTTCATGACAGTATTTCATAAAGTACTTCATTTCTGTTTTTCATTTCGATTCAGTTGAACCAACATTTTTGCAGTCATTTAAAGATTATTATAAATATCTGTTTTGTGCTGTTATAATTGAGCCAGACAATGAATTGAATTTTTTAAATCATGTTGATTTCTCTTCTTTTTTTTTTCTTGATATATCTTGATTTTGTTAGATACGGTTTGAATTATTGTGGCCCCTCTCCAAATAATGTTAGTAATAATGATAACAACAACAAACAACAACAACAATGATTAATGATACATAATAATAATGGTAATAATAATATCAATAACAATAATCATAATCATAGTGATGATGATTTGAAAAAAATACATAATAATGATAATGATAATAATTATAAAAAATGATGATTATAGAACAATATATATCTCATATAAATTAGACCTTGACACGCTTAGGAAAAAGTAAGAAAAAAGTGAAATAATTTACGAATAGAAAAGCTGCAGGAAAGTAGCTATTGTTCTGGTTCAATTTTGTTTGTGGAACTTTAAAAGAGTAATTGATAAGACAGATTTTTTTTATTTGTTTGTATTCATCTTAAATGGAAAGTCCATCTTCATATTAAGTTGGTTTTGATTAAAAGGTAATCCAACCCGTGTATAAGTATGAAAGCAGAGAAATAACAGAAACAGAATGGCAAAAGTTGTGAATGAATCGGACCAATAGTAAAGAAGTTATGAATGTTTGAAGCATGAGAAATCTCAAATCGGTAGTATGATGAGTGGATTGTGACGTAGGACGTGGAACTCTCCCATTTGCTGTGCACAAAGATATCATTAATTTCTGTTTTTTGTGTAAGTTCCTTCTCCCTTGGGGCACTAATCAAAATAAATTATAGATGGCATATTATTATAGCTCCTAAAAGAATGGATCCTCCTGAGCAATGAATTTTTATGAAAAAAAATTAAATTTTAGTCATTTTATATGTTGGAACAGATGGGGAAAGTAGTCTGGCACTACATAACATTGGCATTACCGCTTCAGCCAATTTGAAGTGCACATACCGGTATGTATAGTAATAATGTTTTAAAATTCATAACGTTCTTATATTTAGTCAGATTTAATTGAAACTTTCATCAGTTTGCTTCTCTGATTTTTCTGCTTTCTTTTAAAGTAGTTGTCTATTTGGGTTGGATTTATCTCAAGCTGAAAACAAAGATAAATATAAAGAGTCTTAGGAAAACCTGGTTAGTAATAGGAAAAAAAACTTGGTTTTATTAGAGATGAAATGGTCAAGTACATAAAAGACAAATTTTCAGCATTCCACAATACTTCTTATGAGCATCTCTCCCATTTGCTTTGATTGAAATTTCCATGAATTTCAATTTTCTTAATATTGGAAGAACTAGGTCTGCTTTATTAAGGGATTGTGTAAAACCTAGTACTGGGTATTCATATAGGTATTTTTAGGGTGCATGTGTAGATACATAAGATTAACAAAATTATTAGAGAAAACTGAAAAGGTAATTTTTTGAATATTTTTGCACAGAACAAATGGGAGTGGTCCTCAAATGGGTTGTCACTGAGTTGCCAATTAGTATTAGTAATTCAAAACTTCATAACTTGCTCATTCATTTGATTTTCCTCACACTTTCACCTTTCTTAACCCAAAAAACCAACTTAACATCGGGATGAATTTACATATTGGTGTGACGTGGTCCTTTAATGGAATGGTCGATTAAATTCTGTTGTTCTACTTGGGGGGGGGGTGATAAGCTGCTAGGTTTGAACTGAAAGACATATGTAGTAATTATGGATTAGGCTATTGGCAGCGAAAGAGCCTGTACTGGAAGGAAATATGTAAAGAAAGTGCAAAGATGATACAATCAACGTAGCAACATTCGGTATGGGCATCGATATGATTTTGAGTACACAGTATACGTAGTAGAAAGATTGCTGTGCAAGGATTGGGGGGCTTCAGTGTGTGTGCGTGCGTGCATGCGTATGATCAGCAAGACCCTGGTATGAGTAATGCTCGCTAACTAGAGGTGACTGAATTTGTGACGGAAAAGGTGAAATACAACATGTACATGTACTTAGTATCTGATAATCATGATTCATAATGTAGATGGAAAAAAACAGCCTGCTTGTATTTGATTTTCATAACTTGCTTTATATTTTGAAAAAACCTTTTCTCCTTGAAATGAAGCTAAGAGGTGAATGACTGAGCTCTCTCGATTGTGTGGGTTGTTTGGCACGCTGGTTGCTTTTGATATGAAATGTCAAATGTAAGTAAGCGAATGAGACTGTGCTTGTATATTAGCCAACTTGCATTTCATATGATGAATGTGTGGTAGAAAATTCTCTCTCTCTCTCTCTCTCTCTCTCTCTCTTTGTCTTCCTCTTTCCCCCTCTTTACATATATATTTATCTTGATATCTCTCTTCTCTGAATACTTGCCTTCTTTGTGACATCGGGATACTAATTTATAAACAAAATTAACAAAAAGAGGAATGATTTATAGGTAGTCTACAATTAAAATATATTGTGGCTACAGTGATGAAGTCAATCCAAATTGATAAATCCAGGAATAGCACATCGAGAAACAAAAGCTTAATATTTTACTACCATCACTAGCAAATTCAATCTCTCTTTATATCTCTCTTCTCTGCCTTCTTTGTGACATCGGGATACTATTATACAATTTATAAACAAAATTAAAACAAAAAGAAGAAAGATTTAAGGGTTAATATAGGTAGAATTAAAATATATTGTGGCTACAGTGTGTGAGATGGAAATCTAAATTAATAAATCCAGGAATAGAACATTGACAAAAAAAGCTGAATATTTTACTAACATTACTAGCAAATTTAAATTGTAGGAGATTTTGGCTTTTGTGAGAGGGCGTATAAAGAAACACAATTATAGACAGAAATACAAGAAGATTTTTGTTTTCTTCTTCTTTTTGATCCTGGATCATAACCATTGTTTTACAGTTAGGAGTGCACATTACTTGATACTAAATGACTTCGTCTGTAAGCACAGACTCTAGGCGTGACACTTGAGAGAAGGGTCGTTGCGTCCTAGTCTCCAGACACAGACGCTAATATAACACTTACCGACATTCCTAAAGCCTTGAGCAGAGTCTAGCTCTGTCGGTATCAAAGAAGTCCCAATAACTAAAATACAGAGCATATGCAATATGCCTAGTCTCAAAGTGCAGACCCTGTAACGCACAATGACTGACAAGGGTTGGTGTTGGCGAACTGTTGTCTTTTATATTCATTTAGTCTATGGACAAGACCCTGTTTCGTAACTTATTTGGACCGTGGCAATGTATTTAGTCTCTCCCATGTACATTTCGAGAGTAATAGAATATTTTCCCAGAAAAAGTGAAATGAATCATTTAGCTGTAATTAAGATTCACATGCAATGTGAATTATTAAAAAAAAAATGTTTTTGTGTTTTTTATTACATTGAAGCAGCAGCGTGTATGCTATGAGCTACACTGTAGATGACTTCATTTTGTAATGAATAGTCTGTACCCCCCCCCCGAAAGAAATCCTCATATTTATGAAATTTATTATAATTTACATGGGGTGGAGCTCATTCCATTTATTATCTTGAATCTGCTTTGAAAGGCTGCAATTACTTCCATGTTGTCCGTTCCCTGTTGTTAGATTTTGGCTCCCCTTTCTCCTTCGGTCCATCCCGGTATATAACAGTAGCAACTACCAACTCTCCCCAATTTCGATCTCGCTCTTTATATTATGTCTTTATTACCAACATAACATTCATACTTAACATTATGCATACAATTTTGATTTCTGCATCCCTGTGAAAGAAATGACTTGTTCCCGAACATACGTTGTACTGGGTCTGTACGAAGGTCGAGGAGTATGGAGTGGAGACCAACCCGTATAATGATGAAAAAATGAATGATCCCACCTCCCCCCCCCCCCACCCCCCCCCCCCCCCTCTCTCTCTCTCTCTCTCTCTTTCTTTTTTTTTCTCTCTTTCTCTCTCATCTCACTTTTCTCCTCTACACTCTCTCTATTTTCTCTCTCTCTCTCTCTCTCTCTCTCTCTCTTTACACCCTCTCTCTTTGAGTAAGAACTAAGATAATGGAGACACAAGTCATGTACGTCAATATTCTTTGTAATTTACTCGAGTCTGTACTTTGCTTATGCATGCTAAAGCTGTATGACCAAGTACATATCGTAGCAATATTGATCTTCAAAGACATGGATTATGTACGGGTATTAGGGCATATTGTGGAGATGGAGATATTTGGGAATGACTATAGGCCTATACGTATGTAAAGTAAATATACATGTACAATTATTCTATACTTTACAACCACAACAATGTCTAGAATACAACAACATAATTGCTGTACAACCGGGCAAATAATAATTATCTAGAGGCTTGAAGTACGTATAAGCTATGCGTACAATGCATTTCCTGACCTATGGTGTGCAAGCTTGAACAGACGATTTATTATACACGTCGTACAAGGCATGTACACAAAATCTATGGTGTTGGGAGTGGTGTGTCGTCTGCACAGTGACCGGGTTGTGTTTTTTTTTATATCTGGGAATTATCCCTTCAACCGTTTGACAAAGTGTGGGCGGTAATAGAGGAACTTTTCCTCCACTCCCTACTCCTCCCTTTTCCTTTCTTTCTGTGTGGGCATTATCCAATATTCAACTTGTTACGCCCCTCCCGCTAAAAGAAACATGAAAAACCCGTCGATTTTTTTAAAAATAAATTGTAAAATGTATATATACATGGGCTCTACATGATTTTCCATTCCATTCCTTATTTTGTGATCGTAAGCCGATTATGGGAGGGTGATTATTTCACTAGAAATACAGGCCCACTGATTATAAAGGTTAGGGCTGATGTAAGTCGTGAAAGTACGTGAACAATAATTAAGACTTTTTCTCCCCCTCCCCCTCCCACTCCCCCTTCTCACCTGCCCCCCCCCCCCCCTCTCTCTCTCTCTCTCTTTCTCTCTAACGAACGG